GATGATTTATAGCAGGTTGCAATGACATGATTTTCTTTCTACATTCCAGGCCATTCTCATGTCAATACTGAAGCCACATTTAAAAACATACACTTAAGTCTTCAAAACCTCAAAGATTTTTTTTTTTTTTTTTTAAAGATTTTATTTATTTGTCAGAGAGAGAGAGGGAAAGAGAGCGAGCACAGGCAGACAGAATGGCAGGCAGAGGCAGAGGGAGAAGCAGGCTCCCCGCCAAGCAAGGAGCCCGATGCGGGACTCGATCCCAGGACGCTGGAATCATGACCTCAGCCGAAGGCAGCTGCTTAACCAACTGAGCCACCCAGGCGTCCCAAAACCTCAAAGATTTTTCACCTCTCCCTCTTCCCTTGCATTTACCTCATTGCTTAATAATTATGTACTATTTTATAGAATTTGAAGCAGGTTTAGATACATTATTTGATCCTTAAAATAATCCTCTTAAGTAAAAGCCAATAACACTGCTTCCATTTTATTGACAAGCCAACTGAGGTCAAGAGGTTGCCCATATTCACAGGACCAGCAAGTGACAGTCTTTGAACCTGCCTCTTTCGTCTTTAGAATCCACTTACACTATCTCTAGCAGAACTTCAAATCTAAACTTTCTCCTTCCCCAAATACACTACTGTATCAACAACCTGTATCCTTTTTCAATCTTATGATGTCACTGCATTCAAGAGATTACAAATCTGATGTCACCATTTGAATGGCAGGAGTGTGATAGAAAATATGACAGAGGTAAGACCAAAGATGGCTGATTACATTATCTGTAAACAGTAGCATATTAAGTCTTTTGAAAGACTTTTAAAAGACTGTTGAGAGGGGCACCTGAGTGGCTCAGTGGGTTAAGCCTCTGCCTTTGGCTCAGGTGTCATGATCTCAGGGTCCTGGGATCAAGCCCCGAGTCGGGCTCTCTGCTCAGCAGGGAGGCTGCTTCCTCCCCTCTCTCTCTGCCTCTCTGCCTACTTGTGATCTCCCTCTCTCTGTCAAATAAATTAAAAAAAAAAATCTTTAAAAAAAAAAAAAAAAAGACTGTTGAGAAAGAAATTAACCCGTATGTTTTAAATAAAACTACAATATTTTAAAAAATTAAGCAATCCCCCAAAAAACATAAATTAAAAAATAAAATAAAGATTAAGCAACCTACAATACCCAAAAGGAGTTAGGTGTAGTCACTACAGGAAACCCAAAAACCACATATTGGCCCTGAAGATGACTGGCCTTTTGTTAGCTTCTTAGGCCTGCATTTGTTAGTTACTGGTAAATAATCAAACCATCAATGAGCTTTCTGATGTAGCTTTAAAGTGATTTAGAAAGCAAAAAAGTAATAAATCACTACTTTAAAAAATGTAGAGTGTATTTTTCTGAATATCTTTCTGAACTTTGAAGACTAGGATATGGTTTGCTCAAGCAGTAATAATGTCCTTTCCCTAAGAAAAATAGATCACACCTTCCAATTAAATCAAATCTACCCCAAACTTAAAAGTGGAAGCTTAAATTCAGTTTATTTCTGCCCACTTAATTTACTTTTTCTTTTTCTTTTTTTTTTTTTATTTTATTTATTTATTTGACAGACAGAGATCACAAGTAGGCAGAGAAGCAGGCAGAGAGAGAGGAGGAAGCAGGCTCCTAGCTGAGCAGAGAGCCCCACGTGGGGCTCGATCCCAAGACCTTGAGATCATGACCTGAGCCGAAGGCAGAGGCTTTAACCCACTGAGCCACCCAGGCGCCCCTGCCCACTTAATTTAGAATTCAGTTTTCTTTCCAGGGCACACAGTAAAAATTCTTTTCCTTTTTTTTATATAGGAAACATCTTTTACACACAGGACAAGTTGACATTTTGGGTTCTCCACTATCACAACTTTCCCTCTGCCCTTCTCTGTAAAAGGTAACCAACCAACATGTGATGTCATTTCCTTCACAACAGACACATGGCTCACTGGCATTGTCCTGTGTGCAGAGACAGTAAGCACTATCTGCACTCTTGCTTCCTCCCTGTTCATCGCCTGTAATAGTTCAAAAGATACTCATGTCAAATAAGAACTCAAAATTTTTCCAAATGTACTGAATAAATGTGGAAGGTTAAGCATTCTTTATGGATGCAACAGAAGAAAACAGTAAACGGGGGGAGGGGTGGAAGAGAGAGGGGAATCATTTCAGAATATTTTCAGTGGTAACTATTTTGCTCCTCACAAAAATAGTAGTTTCTCAACACTCGAATAATCCTTCTACACTTTTATCTGATATTAAAGCAAAAATCTGCAGCATTTATATGAAATACAGAATGGGTCTTAACGAAGGTAATGATATGAAGAATAAAGTTTATCTTATTTAAAAGTAAAACCTATTAAGAGTAGAGTGTCTCACAGAACTTCTCTTGTGCCCATATAAAACGAAATAAATCTTAGTAATTAATTAGTTGTCCTACAGAAAAGGACTTTAATACTAAATCAAAGGGACTGCCCAAGACTAACTAGTTCTTGAAACTACCGACACTAATAAAGTCACAATAAAAAAATCATTTCTTTCAACTACCTATTTTATGTACGTATTCTAGGTAGTTATTTTATACATATAAAATATACATATCTTAATTCCTTAATTCCAACTGTAGCAGAATGCTAACATCTTCATATAAATGAGTTCATAAAAATCAAGTTGCTGACATGTTTCAGTGATTGCCATATGTGATTATTTTGGCTAATGTTACTTACTTTAAGGAGACCATTACTAGGGCACCTGGGTGGCTCAGTGGGTTAAAGCCTCTGCCTTCGGCTTGGGTCATGATCCCAGCGTCCTGGGATCGAGCCCCACATTGGGCTCTCTGCTCTATAGGGAGCCTGCTTCCTCCTCTCTCTCTCTCTGCCTACCTCTCTGCCTACTTGTGATCTCTTTCTGTCAAATACATAATTAAAATCTAAAACAAAAAAAAAAAGGAGACCATTACTACTAGGGTCATTAAAATCAAAGCTCAACTTCATTAATGAGTGGAGATGCCTGTTACCACCCTACCTAAGCACTTAGAAATTTCCTTGGTGTGAAGCATAAGACAATGAAAAAAACTTCAGCTACAACTATCATTTTTTTCTCTCAAATTCCAAATAATGTAAAAGCACATTCAGGCTTGATTTTTAAAGTAGTTCTCTCTCATAATCTTTTTATTTTAACTACTGGATCATCAAGTTGACAGCTGTTGAATCAGAAAACATTTCACCATCGAAAGCAAATTTCTTACTAATACCGAAATTATGTTAATTTCCCTAAAATCCTCTAAGAAAACTAGTAAACCATGTGCTCCTCCAACATTGGAAGCTATTTCGATTGTAACTTTGTCAGTTTGGAACTTAAGAAAATATGTTAATATGAATTAACTAGTGATTCAAAAGCTGGTAATTAAAAAAAAGATTAATTAAGATCAGCATCAAAGAAGAAGTATCATTTCTCATACCATGCGGAGGTTTAACAGTGTGCCTTCTGAGTGAAAAGCTTCTTTTGGTCAAATGAGAATCAAAGATGGCCAATTACTGACTAAACTGTCATCTTTTGTTGTATGGCCTAATGCAGCGCTTCTCAATCAGGAACATGTGTGCTCCCGCAGTGAATACTCCACCATGTCTGGAAATAATTTTTAGCTTCAGGACTATGAGGGATGCTACTGCCTGGTCCCAAGTGCTTCCCAAGCCCCACCTGAAGTACTATGTACATTCTCCACCTGATGAGACTAACAATTAAGTCTCCTAAAAAGAACTACCCTCTGAGATGCACCTTATAGGCATGGGGCCAAAAAATTGCCTTCCCACATCAAACCATAGTTTTAAAATGTCCCAGAGCAGTGCCCGAGACAGAGCCCATTAGCCTGGGTATCAGGGACATGTGCAGAATTCTAAAGCTACATACACTGGAGACAAAAACCCCAGACCGGTGTAAGTCAAATATCATGACTAAACAAGATTTCTCTGCCCGCCATTGTCAACTCAGGAAGTTGACTTAATGCAAATCAATCAAGAGCAAATTTGCAAAATACCCACTCTGTTTTCAAGGGAGTTGTAGTGACAGAAAATGTGAAAAAGCCTAGTGGATGAAGTCCTGGAGTTGCTAAGCCACCAGATCCCTCATCAAAATAAATGGGCTTCAAGAGAGCCAAGCCAACCCCACTCCCCAGAGAGGAATTCTCAAATGCCCCTCTCAGGCAGAGTGCTGAGAATGGCAACAAGAGACTTCCTCCCAGGGACAAGAACTAAGGGGCAGCTAAGGGGAATGAGGAAAGCATTCCCTAGAAGAAAGAGGGAATCCTTGTCATTCCTACTGTGGCCTAGTGACCCATGTGTTGTTTCCTTTTCTCTCCTTTCCAGGTGGTGATTTTATCCTTATACCATTTACTAAGGGTGTATTAGGAGCTTAAATTCACTACTTATCACACATGGCCAGAACAGAAGAAATTTTAAAAGGTCTGAAAATATTGCCCATTTAGTATGGGAAAGTAACAACCTGTCTTTAGTTCACTATCCCCGGGAGAAAGAGGAGGTAAACTGGTTTTTTATTTTAGATGGGATAGTGAATAATGACTGTGCTGACCATCAACATACTCTGTATTGTGAAAGATCACCTGACACAGGCCAAGAAAAAAGATTTACATCAAGTTTTATTCAAATCTTGGGAAGCTGGTTATCTAAATGAATTCCCTCCCTCCCACCACCACTCTAGCTCGTATTAAGTACACAGGAGTACTGACACCTTCTCTATACTTCATATTCTAGATAATTATTTTCAGTTCTCAAACACCTTAAAATGATTCTGAAAAAACAGCTTTGAAATGCCAAACCTACAGTTTGCTAAAGAGCAAGAAAACTAAAAAACAATGTCCATGTGTATTCAAAATGTGAATACATTAATGTTTCTGCCACTGTCAAAAGAACAGCAACTGACCAACATGTGTAAGACCACCAAAGGCGTGCTTTCGGTCAAGAGCTCCATATTCTCCATACCATTTTTGTAAGTAGTCCAGTGCCTCCAAACGAGCACCGATCTCAAAAGTGATTCCAGGACGATTTGGGGGCTTTTTACTCATCTTGAAATCCTATTCTTCAGTATTTTCTTTTCACTACCTCAAGAGGGGGAAAAAAAAAAAAAAGGTTAGATTCTAATGCATAAAATGCATAGGGAATAAAACAGAATTTTAAAAGCATTGCATGAGAAGTTAAAGTAACTGCCAAATTTTAAAGAAATCTGAATGACGATTACCAATATCCGTAGATAAAGTACTATATACCTTACAAGCAATCTTGATCATGAATCAGGGAAAAAGAACATGAAAAAGAACGATTTAAAAAGAACAGAGGAGCATTTAACCTTGCTAATGGCTAAAATGCTTGAAATTTTAACTTGAAAATACCCAAAAAAATTCTCCATGCGTGCTGAAAACAGTTTTCCATCTCTGAAAGAATCAAGACACCTGAGTGCTTCTGGAATACGACTACCGAAATTCTTAAGAGAACAAATTAATGAAGTTTTTCAATCAATATTTGAGTGCCTCATAGTATACAACACTAGATAAGGCACTAAAGAGCATGAAGGGACAGCAGACACTCCTCTGCCAGGGACAACATCAACAATAATTCTTGCAATTCTTGTAATTAATTCCTTTCATTAGCTATGATTTCCTGCTTTGGCAGCAAATGATCCAATAATTTTAATTTAACATATAAAGTTGCAACAGAAAGGTCTTCCTTATACTTCATATTCAATAAGCAATAATGATGTGGATTTTTTAAGGCACTTAATGCCTTTTTTAATGCAAATTTATTTCACTCTATTTCAATACGGTCAGTGTCCACACTGACAAAAGGGGTCATAATATTCATAATATTCAAACAAACAAAAAACGACAAGGAATATCCCTTTCTACATCACTGCCACGCACACTCTTTACTCTCCTTTTGGCCACACTGGACACCCGGAACACGTGAGGTAGCCTTTTTCACTCGCTAGTACTTGAGCAATATGAAGCACTTTGAGACAGGCTGAATAAAAATATAATAGGTAATCAGGAATGCAAACCTACTGTTACTGGGGGGAAAGAGAGATCCCTAAAACCTTTTTTTGAGATTTAGAATTACTAATACGACTATGCTTTCTCTCAGGTTAAAAAACCAAATACACAACTACAGCATTTTTTAAATGGTTTGCTCACCATTCAAAAGGGACAAAATGTAGCAGGAAAAATGATAACCAACTGTCTTTTCCTCTTGCAAAAAATCTAATAGGTAACGGGCAAAAATAACACCAATACTTCCCATAAAAATATGTAAAATCAAACCTAAATACTCATGGGGGAAGGGGGAGACTATCCTTTGGCCATGTCAAGAACAAAGATTAGTTCATTAAAGTTAACGGGAAGCTAGGCCAGAGGATATTTGGTGTAAAAGAACAAAAGCATGGCATTTTTTTTTTTTAAAGTCTGGTCAGCATATAACACATAAGGCAGTTACTTAAATATCTGTGTAGAAATCTATCCAAACTTTTCTACTGTTCTTCACGAGAAGAACTTAGTTAAGAGGTGTTTACTAGTTACACTATTTTCTACAGTTAAACATTGAACCCATAAACGTGGAGTTAAGACATACAAACTCTCAGTGATACTTTGAGTTGAGACACAATTTCCTTTTCCCTGGGTGGAGAGAGGAGGATGACTAGGGATTTGAAATAAGGAAAAGGCAAAGTAAGACAGTCTATGGCGGCGGGGGCGGGGGGAAGGGGGAGACGGGAGGGGGAGACTTGAAGCAAAAAGAGAAAAAGGGACAGAGAGAACGCGGAGGAACATAAACAGAAAAGAACGCAAACAAGAATGGCAAAAATTTACCAGGACGGTTAACGTTGCACGAGATGACAACTAGGAGGGAAAAGAAAATTAGCAAGACACAACACCGAGAAAGTGAAGAAGCAAAGGTCAGAGAATGGCCGCGGGGCCAAAGAAGGTAGGGGATTGATGTGGGGCGGGAGGGGTTGGCAGAGACACAGGAAGGGCTCACACCAGCCTGGCGGGGAGCGCGAGAAGCCTCCAGGTTTGACAGCCGTCCGGCCCTCGGCAGGGGGGAAGGAAGGGAGGAGGAGAGGGAGCGGCGGCGTCCAGACAATAGAGGCGGCGAGTTAAGGGGAGGGACGCGAGAGGGGAACGGGCCGGAGAGATACCAGCCCGGGGGCGTCCCGGCGGCCAGACGGGATCCAGGCGGCCTCTAGGCCCCGCCACCGCCGCCGCCGCCGCCTCTTACCGACTCGGCCTCCTCTCCGCACAGCAGCCGGGCCGTCTGGGGCCGAGCCGGGACACGAGCAGGGCTGCCAGCCCGGTCCTCCGCCTCCGCCTCCGCCCAGGCAGTGGCCGGGGAGGAAGCAGGAGGGGAGCGAGCTGGGGCCACAGAGCTAAGTCGGGCCCGAAGTCGCGCGGAAGGTAGCAGGTCTGAGCCCTCAAACCCGCTCAGCGTCCGCAGCCATCGCCGCCTCCGCCGCCACCACCGCCGGCCAGCCCTGACGCGACGCCGGGCCCAGCGACGTCAGCCGCCCGCGACGCGCCGGAAGCGGCCTGGTAGCGTCACGTGACTCGCGAGGGTTGGGCCCAGGCTGCTCAGCCGATTGGAGAGCCGCCCTGGGAGGCGGGGCTTTGCAGCAGTTGGCTGACGGCTAGCGGGAGTGGTCGTGATTAGCAAAAGAGAAAGGGAGCCCCAGGAGCCCGTTAGTAGTTGTGAAGTGTTTGACCTTTGAGAGATGAGGACACAGCCCACTGAGTATTATTACTGTCGATTTGATAGGAAACACGTTCCCAAAACAACTCAACCCCAGCACCTTGGGCAAACTTTTGTAAATGCACTGCACTCTTTACATTCCACAATAAGAATAGAGCAAATGGTTATTGCCACAGTCAGCAAACAGCTATTGAGTGGACGCTGTGTGGAAGTTACTATGTTGTTAGTGCATTACATGACAACCACATTAGCACAATTGTATTGCTTTCTATTATATGAGATTTCTTACAGTACAAAAGGCACATATTACTAAGATCTGCGTGTGTGTGTGTCTTCTGAAGCTAAGGAACCTGTGGGTAAATGGACGTGACTTCCCCCAAGAATACCCAGCTAAGGAAAGCAGAGCTACTTTTCTTGTATATCTACCATGTACCAAACTCTAACTTAGGCACAGGAGAAAGTGTCCCCACAGGAGGGGAAACCAACAAGTGAACACATTCAAACCAATGATGAGATGAAAGTCTTTTTTCTCTCTCTTTCCAATGTACCACTCTGGATCTCAAGCTTTCTAAATGCAACATTGCATACAAATAACACTTATATTTATCATGCTTTACAGTGTGGAGTTAAAATAGCAAAGTATCTCTCTTTAAGCTTTAATTATAGTGAGATTTGGTAATTTAAACAACTATATTCATATCCTTTTATTCCAGAGACATTCATTCAGCACTTACTATGTTACTAATGGCTACTGAGCTAGACTCAGCATGGCGGTATATAGAAAAGATGTAAATAAGACAGTCTCTAGTGGACATTTGCCTTGTACTGGAGTTGCCCAGCATCTGAACCCTTTCCATGTTTGGGAAATTTACCATCATGGTTGTCATTAGTGTAGTATACCATATATTTCCAGGATCTCCTGGACACACGACAGGATTATACATTCTGCCCTCCTTAGAATTATGTGTGGCCTTTTGATTTGCTTTGGGTAGTAAAATAAAATTGAAAATGAACTTTGTCATGGCCAGCTGGTAGTTTTAACGCATAATTCATCCAGTTTTCTGTCTCTGGCACAGTGATAAGCAATATTTGAGATGGCAGCTGCTCTAGTCACCCAGATTCTAGACAGATCATGAGGAGCCCAGAACTCGCTGCTGATTTACAACTGATATGTAATATAAGGAGAAAAATAAATGATCATTCTTTTAAGCTTTTGAGAGTTTGGAAGTTCTTTGTGATGCAGCATAACCCAATGCAAACTGACCGATACACCTTATGACTCTTGAAGGCAGAGTCAAACTCACACTAAATAAGATGAACATGTCAGAAACTCCCATTTCCTGTCTCTCTTCCAGCAAAAGTGCTCTTCTCAGCTACACTTACTAGACTCTCTCCTTGAAGACTGTATGAGAAGCTGCTGGCGATGTTGAAAATAAGGAAAATTTTCTCCAACAGCAGTGGCAGTACCAGGGACCAAGTTTCTGACTTTCAGCCTAGAGCTAACTACCTGAACCCTGGAAGAACCCAAGCTCACTCATAAGCCAGTGAGAAAAAAATTAATATCTGTTGTTAACATCAATGAAAATTTGAGATTGCTTGCAATTTAAAATGTATACATAAAGGATAACATAGATTCTATCTACTCTACACCATTTGTTAAGAATTCACCAATCTACCCTGAAAATATAATTCTCCTATTTTAATTGGGACTTAATAAGGGACCCCACCAATAATACAACTTGAAAGAAAAAAAAAGTGAGATTTTATGTAAATGATTCCCAGCTTGTGAATTGTACAGGTATGTATTTACAATGGGCTTAATACTATCCATTAAATAGTATCCATTAATACTATCCCCATTTGGAAATGGGGAGGGGAAAATTTTTAGTTGTCACATGATTGAGGTAGGGTACTGCTGCAATTTAGTGGGGACAGAAGAGGTCTTCTAGACATCCTAAGGCACACAGTGCAGTCCTATATCTTAAAGAATTGTCCCAGGTCATGCATGACTTTGAATGTCCCTCTAAACACTCATGTAGGTCAAAACCTTTTTCATAATTGTCTAAGCCTAGAACTCAGTTTTGGACCAAAGCACAAAGTATTTTGCAAGGTTTTAATACACACAACTTTTCAAGGAGTGAAGCAACCATGCAGTGTGAGGGAAGATTGTTCTTTTTTACAAACATGTCCAAGAGTTTATCCCATTTTTTTTGTTATGTTATGTTAGTCACCATACAGTACATCATTAGATTTTTATGTGGTGTTCCACAATTCATTGTTTGTGTATTACTCCATTTTTAGGAATTATGCCGCCATTGGCAAAGCTACTCATAGTATTTGAGGCACTGATACAATGTACCTGTATCTCTCTGTATCTGTAGCTGTTACACTCAAGGTAAATCTAAATTTTGGTGCAAGCGCTTGATGACTTCGTTATGTCTCTTTGTGAGTCATGGCTGAACACTTATGTATTGAAATACATGTTCTTCTTATTATAAATTATCTCCATAAAGTTTGTTTTTATGTTATTGTTATGTCATTATACTAATTTTTAAAATGTGTGTAGCTTGATTATACCACCTATGAATTTAACTTTAGAAAAGTCCAGAGGATATTACATAATATTAACTCACGAAGGGGGCATTAAATTTGATAAAACTGAAGAAAACTCATATACTCCAGTTTGCCTCTTTTGACCATATAGACGCAAAGTTCAGGATTGGGGCAGGGATATAAGAAGTAGAAAAGTCTAGAGATGACTTCCCAGCCATGCAGTGAAGCTAAGCATTGCTATGTCCCCTCCCCTGTCTCCCACCCAAAACACCCCTCATCCAGATGGTTAATGTTAGCCATCAGTCACTTCATTGCCAAATATAGAAAGAAAGAACTTACAGCTGTGTTTGAGTGGAACCAAAAAGCAGTGAGCAAATTATCCTGAAACAACGGTCCCTAAGCAGAAATCACTGAACTAAATTCCTCCGACATTAAAAATATAAATATGGAACCATTCTATCTCCTGGAATATTTGACAATTCTATCTACTTATTTTAAGGGAGGAAAAAGTTACTACTAAATATCACATACTCTTTTACATATGACACACAAGAAAGCCATTTTGTCTGTGTATTTTTCTCTAATCTTACAATCAGCACCAAAGAAGAAAAGCAAACAATTCAAAAAAAATTCTTAATATACTAATTGAATAAAGACCTGAACTGTTGGAATAGACACCTGTGGTAACTCTCTGTTCCAGGTGTTTAAAAATCTTTGAAAATGGCACAAACCTCACTTCCTTCCCCTGCCTATGAACCTGCTTGTCTTGTCTGTCATTCTATCCCCTTTACAACTGACCAGAAGTGATAATTTTTCCAGAATTAATCTCTTGCTGTTGGACCTCTCGGCCATGTATGAACGGAATGGAGAGATACAATCTCTCCCATATGTCCACAGAGTATCCTGCTCGCATTTCTAACATAATTCCCTTTGCAATGTATGGGTTTATATGCTGCTTTCTTAGAATGAGTCAACCCTAAAGACAATCAGACGGCATAAACAACTTTGTTTTATTTATTTACTTTTACTGGAAGTTCATATGTTACTCAGAAAATATGTGGCTTTCTGAGATTTTTAAGAATTTTTGACTTGGCAATAGTGATTTTGAAATATCTGTCTGCTTGTAAAGGCCATACAATAGGAAAAAAAATATATGTTTCACTCAGCAAAAGCTTAAAAATGTAGCAAGAGATCTGAATGATGAAGTCCTTTTTGTGCAGACTGTCCTGAAACAATGGAGTGACCATGAGTTTGTCATCCAAGCCTGGACACTTATGAGAGTTAAAAAAAATAAAAGTTGCTATTATAATTATGGCAGAATAACGAGTGGATTCATGGACAGTCCCAGACAAACTGAGACATACAATCACGCTCCCTAAAGCAAGAAGGAATAATAAAGGGAAATAGGATAAAGTTTTCCTATCTGCAAAAGCATTAAATATGGAATCAACTCTTTATTCCTTGGTGGATTTTCTCCTTTGCAATACCAGGACAGAGGATACTCCTTTCTTTAACTTTCAGCTTCTATGTTGATTCTTTATACCTCCTCCAATTTCTGTTGTTGTTTTTTTGACACTCCCATTAACTAAGCAGTATTTTCAAGCACTGCTCCACCAATCATTGCATTAGACCCACCTGGGCTCTTTGTTAAACTCCAAGTCCCTGTGCCCTAACCTGTGTCTTAGATTTGGAGATTAGTAATCAGTACTTTAAAAGCCATCCTAAATGATTCTTAATGTACACGATGTTTCAGAACTGTAATACGTTAGAATTCATTTGGTTGCATGTGACAGAAAATATAATGCAAACAGGTAGAAGCATAAAGAGAATTTCTGCTTGTGAAGTCAAGAGGGGATAAGTCTGCCTTCTGGGGCAGTTGGAGTCAGGGATCAAATTATAATATCTTTTTTACTCTGTTTTTATTTTACTCTGTTTCCTATGGGTTGGCTTGACTCTCAGAATCCACATCTAGACCCCCAACAGCTTCAGACTTGTCATCACAACACCTTGATGAACAAAAAACAAGTCCTAGAAGTCATTCTTTCATTAGCTTAAATTAAGTCAGGTGCCTGCCTGTGAAGTAAGCATGATGGCCATAGAGGTGATTTGGACTGAT